AGATGGCTGTCTTTACTTTGCCCAGGTGGGGGGACAGCTCTGGGGTGGGGGGTGGGGGTGGGCAACTCATGGAGTGGCATATCTGAAGCTGAAGCCCCTCTAGCTGGATTCTCCCCAAGATTTTTCCTGGGGCAGAGAGGTGACCTTGACAGAAGTGGCCATTAATTTGAAAATGGGGTGTGGGAGAGTAAAAGGAGCAGGGTGAAGTATGAAAGAACAGAGTGAAAAAAGAGAAACAAGAAACAGGAGAGAGATGATGGAAATAAGTGGAATTTTGAAGCCTTTCTCCCATTTTTAAAGGGTGGGCGGGGCTGACACAAAGGGTTTGGGGCTGGGCCATAAATTAATAGATTTATTTCTCAATCAGGAAAAAGCCATTAAGATATTCTTGGCTTCATCTGTGGGAAAATAATTTCTTTGATTGAGTTGCCCCAGAAGACCCTCTGAAGCCCTCTCCTCCTGCCTGGAAGGGCCTCTTCTTTCCTGCCTGCCGGAAGGAGGGGAGAATGGCAGACCCCAGGGGGAGCAGGCCCTTCCATCTTTTCCAGCATCTTGAATTTCACTTTGGCCAGTTTCTTTTTACTTGATCCCTGCTGCCTTGGAGACTTGGAACCTCAGAGGGGAAATTCTCCCGCAGCAAGCTAGCCCCGACCTCTCCCCTTTTCCAGAGCAGGCCATCATATTGAGCAGGAGTGGGCCTGTGGCCTCTCAGCTGCCCCAGCACTCCCAAGATTAGCCTGGAGCAAGAACCAAACCACAGGACAGGGCGGGACAGAGGTCACACAAAATGGAAGGAAGGAGCCTGGGAGAAGGGCTGGCCAGGATTGTTCCCTTCAGCAGGGAAGAGCTGGGCTCTTGTCAGTCCCTTAACACTTCAAGTGTGGTCCTCACCCTGTAAAAGTCTCTGAGACCCTTTCTGAGGGTCCTCGAGGTCAAAACTATTTTCTCGAGAAAAGGATCTTGACTTTTCCACAGTGTTCAGTGGTTTCCCAGAGGCCATTTTCTGCCTGGTGGCTTTGTGTTTCTGTGGCCAATGGCATGCGTGCCTATTCTGATGTTTTTTGTTTTTTTTTTTTAAAGCATATTGCTTTTAAAAATTTACCCTAATGAAAATCTGTTTCAAAAATGTTTTGGTTTTCACCTCATATGGTTTAGCTATTTACATTTAAATAAATTATAATGAAATGAAATATTTATCTCCTCAGCCATACCTCGCAGTTCAGTTGTTCAAGAGCCACAGGCGGCTGGTGGCTGCACTCTGCAATGGTGCCTTCTAGAACATGGTCTTTAATTGAAAATACTTTTTCTTTTTTTTTTTAAAGATTTATTTATTTATGCAACTGAGGTATAGGCCAGAGGTGGGGAAGTTGAGAGGATTCACCAGAGACAGAATGGAGAGCAGAACAGGCAGATCTACTGAAATAAATACACTGTTGAGGGGAGCAGCCAGTGACACAGGAGAGGTCTGCTGCCCCATGTGGATTGAACTCATGCTGCAGTGGCTGTGGATAGCTTCATAGTGATGTGTCTTAACCCCTTCAGTAATGTTAAGCTATCCAATCTCCAGAACTTTTTCATCTTGCAAAACAGAAATTCTATCCATTAAGTAACAACTCCCCACCAGCAATATTTTTATATTAATGTGAATTGGTTTCCAAGCATTAGAATTTAACGAAGTATTAACCATCTCAATTAAGAAATCAATGTCGGTCATTCAAAACAGCTGAACTGGTGGGGAAACATGAGCCAGAGTCTCCCAGGGGAAGCAGATTCCATTAAATATGAGGGTGTCATTTCCCTGGATTCTTTTGTCTTGACCTTCTTGGATTTCAGCAGCTACCTTCTAAGTACTGGATACACCCCAGGATTGAAGATCATGGGATGTCTCCCAAGTGGCTGATGGCTTAGGGGTTGCGTCACTGAATTTTTAAAATGATATTTTCTGGGCACTGCCTGAAAGTTTAATATTACAATGGCAGGTAAAGATAAATATGCTCAAGATTAGTCTCTTTCTCTAAAGATCTGACAATGGTTATTGATCCAGAAAAGGATAAAAATCAGCATATTTAGCAAAACTTTTGGTCCAATGGGCAGGAGGAGAGAAAACAGAATACACCCTAAAAATAAAAGTGATTGCTAAAAAGAATAAAATACTTTTGGCAAAGTTTTTCTTTCACTCGAATAAAAGAAATTTATTGCTTCTTTTAAAAATAATTTTTATTGAAGGAACATTGCATTATAACATTTTGTAAGTGTCAGGTGTGCCTCATTATAAATCAACATCTGTATCTACTACATTAAGTTCACTGTCAAAAGTCCTTATGTATCCTTCATCATATAATTGACCCCTTTTGCTTGGTTGACCCACCCACCTGCCCCTTTCCTTTTTGGTAGTCGCTAGTTGGTCTTATAATCCAGAAGTTTATTTTTTGTTTTATTTTACTTTGTTTGTTTTCTCTTATACCACATATGAACAAAACCATATGGTGTTTGTCTTTCTCTATCTGACTAAGTATAATATCCCCCAGGTTCATCCACGTTGTTACAAATGGCAGGCTATTACTTTTCATAAAAAGTGTAATGATGGAGTGGGTTTCAAGTCTGGTTTGATCAGAACTCTGGCTCTGTTTTCTGTGCATTTCTCACCCAGCTGCTTCTCTCTGTGTTTACTTTGTTCTTGGCCTGGCCTCCCTCCTGGTATCCAGGCCTCCATCACATGATTACCAACCAATCCATTGAGAAATGGAAGCTCCGTTAACCAGAATTCCCTGAGAAATCACATCTTTCTCCTGTCATTATGATCAGGGGAATGGAACCCCCTGCTTGTCTTTGGCTTACCCTTTCACCTGTAACCAAAGGGACGCCTGAAAGAACATTGGGAGACAGAAATTGGAAATGAAATGAAAGAGGTAATACAGGAACCCACTGGCATCTTTATCTTCATTTAGGACACAGTTAGGTTGTAATCTTATTTGTCATGATTAAGATGCTTCTTTTGTTATATCACTGTGTGCTCTATGGGGTTTGAAGACAGTATTTGACCTTGGCAGGAAGGGCGTACAATTATCTCAACATCTTTTCAGTGTTGAGATGATGGCTTTTTTTTTTTTTTTTAAAGATTTATTTATTTATTTATACAAGCACTGGGTATAGTCAGAAACGCGGGAGGGTGAGAGGATTCGCCAGAGCCAGAGTGGGGAGCAGAACAGGCAGACTGATGAAATACACTGCTGAGGGGAGCAGTGGGCATGGCAGGAGAGGTCTGCGCGCCATGTGGGACCCTCGCCCGGTGGCCAGGTGGCCGGGGATCGAACCGGTGCTGCAGAGGCTGCAGGCAGCTTCGCAACCCAGCGCTCAACCGTTGCGCCCCAGAGAGGCCCGAGATGATGGCTTTTTATAGATCTTTACCATTTAACTAATCATGTAGCGCCCCCATGTAGTGCTCTTATAGATGCTATGAATTGTCTCAGATATTTAAAAAAGTCCAGATTCTTTCTCATCTGCTACAGGCTCTTTGGTAGATCTTGAATGAAGTGATGGTTGGATAGATGAATGTTTAACAAGGTGTTCAGGTGATTTCTATTATCAAAATAGTTTGAGAAACAGTAAACTAAAATTGGTTATGTGCTTTTTCCTTACATTGGCTGCTGGGGAGCTCAACAGGCTAATTTTTAAAAAGTGTTTAGACTGCATCACATGCAATTTTTGATTCTATTATTAGTCTTGACTTCATTTATCTTTTATCCTTATTTTCTTTTTCTCCCACGTTTCCTCAAAGAATAAAATCTTATTGTGCTATTATTTTTTTAAAACCTCAATTCTTAAGATATTAAGTTCCATCTTGAATTCTTTTTGGAAAGATGTAGAATATGTCAGAGAGGATTATGGCAGGAAACAGAAGACACTCTCACTAGATAGTTGAGGTAACTTTTTCAAGAAGGTCTTTGTCTGGAGGTGAGGACAGGTTTCAGGGGATCAATGACAGATTTGGCTAATCTAATAACAGCTGGGACACCATTGTCCTCCTAGGTCTAAGGTGTGGTAGAGGGAGGGAGGGGAAGTGTTAGTTTCCCAGGGTTACTGTCACAAATCACAGTGCGGTGACTTAAACAGCAGAAATTTCTTTTCTTTTTTTTTTTTGAAGTTTTTTTTTTTTTTAAAGATTTATTTATTTATTTATATATGCATTGGGTACAGTCAGAAGCACGGGAGGGGGAGGGTGAGAGAATTCACCAGAGCCAGAGCAGGGAACAGAACAGGCAGACTTGACGAAATACACTGCTGAAGGGAGCAGCGGGCGGCAGGAGAGGTCTATCACGCCATGTGGGACCCTTGCCGGCAGCCGGGGATCCAACTGGCGCTGCAGAGGCTGTGGGTAGCTTTGCAGCCCAGTGCTCAACCGCTGTGCCACCAGGGAAGGCCCAGAAATTTATTTTCTTATAGCTATGGAGGCCAGATATCAAAAATATCTGCCAGATATCCAAAATAAGTCTCCTTGGGCTAAAGTCAAGTTGTTGGAAGGACTGGTTCTTTCTGTAGGCGCCAGGGGGACAATCAGTTCCTTGCCTCTGTCAGCTTCTGGGTTGCCAGCATCTCTTGGCTCATGTCTGTGGCCCACCAACCTCTACTCCTGTAGTCACAGAGCCTCTTCTTCTCTGTCCATTTCTCCATCTGCCTTCCTCTGACAAGCACATTTGTGGTTGCATTTCGTGTCCACCCAGATAATCCAGGATAATCTCCCTTCTCAAGACCGTAGTTATATCACATCTGTAAACTCCCTCTTGCCATATAAGGTCACAGTCACAGGTTCCAGGGAATAGCAACTAATTATTTTGGGGGACCATTATTTAGTCTCCCAAAGGAAGGATGGAGCTGTTGGAGCCTGGAGCTGGGGACAAGAGGACTGGGTATGGCCATGGATAGAGAGCACCAGCACTGTCATAATGGTGTCCTTTGTCCCCCCTTGCCAACCCTTTGCCCCCTCACCCTGGTCTCCTGCTAGTGCATCCTATCAGCTAAGGCAGGCAATGAGAGGAGGGAAGGCATCCTCTTGGATTTAGAGTGGGCAAAGCTTGGGACTATCTGGAGATGAACCCGAGTAACAGGGGCATAGAAATACCAGATCATCACTGCTGAGCTATGGGCAGCACCACGGTCCTGTTCCCTGAACCCTGCTACTCAGAGGGGTCTCCAGCTAGAGTGGGCTGCTCAGCTGACAGCCACATGCTCCTGCATTTTCATGGTGTCTTGGGTCTGGGCCCTCCCAGGTAAGAGGAGATAGTCTGGGAGATTTGAGGCCAAGTTTCAGTCCAGGTGTTGGAAATCTTTTTCTAGCCCCAGGGCCCTCATTTAAGGTAGAAAAGGGCTGTTTGGTTGACATTAAAGGGGCTGAGCAGTAATAGGATCCTGGGCATTCAGGAAACCAGGTTCTGAAATCAGCACCAGTGCTCTCTCATCAGAAGGTTCCAGTACCAGGAAATTATGCCGCTTATCTGGTCTTCAGGCACCCCATGCTGTTCTCAGACTTGCAGTGGAATGGTAAGCCCTTGCATTCCAGAGCTGCCATCTCCATACAGAAATTTAAAACCCAGCTTTGGCTCGGCGAGGGGTCTGACCCGGGTTATGGCAAGCCAGCCCAGGGGGCCACAGGTCTGGTGTCTACCCACAGCTCCAGCCTCAGCCCCAGCCCATGTTTCACAGCTTTTCCTCTCCTTTGTGAGTATCTTCTTCCCTCCTTTGCCCAGGTCCACCTATCCGGCCTGTCCTGCCTCTCCTCTGCCTCCATGTCTCTCCCAGTTGAGAAAAAACCAGCTGGGATTGACATCAGGTGTTTGGGAAGTTCCCATGTACAAATTCCTGCCTTCCAGTGATTGCCCTGATTTTTTTTTTAATTGACATTTGAAACTAAAGACAAAACCAGCTGCTTCTTGAGGGGGAAAAAAGCCAAACATGAAAAGAATCTGTCATATAACCCACTGCCCCCCAAAGCCCAAACCAATAAAACGAGTCTAACCAATAATTCAATCTCCCTGCCTTGTTCACTGTGACTAAATCCTGCAGAAGCGGCACAACAGGGACCCCTCATTGACGAGAAATTTATCATTACTGATTTTATTAGCTTTAATGTAGCCAACAGGGGGCTGCTGATAGTTTCAGTATTCTTTTTCCTGAGAGATATTTTCCCCTAAAGGACAAACGTTCGGGCATTTAATTGTCTTAAAACATGTCGTGTAGCTTGGTGGAATGACAAACTTTTTCAGATGCAAGCCCTGAGAAGGGCTTTTCTAGTTTATAATCGAATCAAGTTTGCTGCTTGATTCTTCCTTTTATAAATTTCTCAGGGCTTAGAAGCATATCTACCATAATTATTCTAATAATCCTCTAAAAGAGCCATTCATCTGTCATGGTTGAAAGCAATTTCTTTTTAGTGGAAATGCTTTAAAATGTCTTGTTTGGACAGAAAGGGCCATCCATTCTTCGGTAACTTAAGCAAGTTACTTGGAGTCAGGCAATTAGGTTAATGAGACAGTTGGCCTTTTGAAGTTCAATGGGAGCTGGAATGAGCTTACCGCTCCTCCAGAAGACATTAAATCAATTTGGTGTAAAAGGTAGCAGGACATCGTCCCCTCCTACAGTTTCAAGGAAAGATCATGCACACACAGATTTAGCTCCAAGCATGGAAATTTGATGGTGGGCCCCTTCCTTCAGCTTTCTGGCAACCGCCATGCTAGGGAGAAGCAACAGCTGCTGCGGCTATCACCGGGAAGGATGACAGGCCTGGATTAGGCCTGGTGTGGAGGCAGAAACTCTTGAGGGAGCAGCCCTAGGCCCAAGTTGCGGAGATCCATGGACACTTGGAATGCCCCGCACCAAAGCAGATGGAACGGCTGATAACTGAGTGGAGACAGTAGAGGTCCTTCCAGTGAGCGCGGCTGGCCTTGCCAAATGTCCGTCATGGAGGGGCCATTTCAGGGGGACCAGCCTGCCTTAGATGTTCATCAGAGACATTCACATGTTCTGTCGTTCACCCTTCAAAGGAAGGTGTCAAATGTCTTGATGAAATACCTCTTGTGCTTACAGACATGGGGATCAGCCGCCCCGGTGATAGATGACTCAGGGCGAATCCATACAGCGGGGGTCAGACTTGGTCAGACCCACCATCACAGGGCAGGACTCGTGATGTCAGCATTGGTCTGTGAGACAGAACCCAGTCAAGGCCATGGTCCATGTTTGAAGGCAGCCTTTGGGACTGTGTGCATTTGGGGGGTTGGGTGTGTGAGGACTGTGCATGGGGCTGAGGGCCTCAGGGCAATGGACGCCTGATGGACTGGACTCTGTGACAGCAACCAGCTCTTACCAGGTCCTCTACTGCTGCAGTGCAGCTACCACATGGGGCTGCTTGCATGCGAGAAGGAGCAGATTCACATAGTGATATCATTAGGCAAAGGACATAGCAAAGATAAGCGATCCAACAGCTTGGGAGGTGGCCCTGCAGAGGGGGGTAGCCTGGGTCACACTTAGCTGACAGGAAGGGTAAGGCCATTGGTGCTGTTCCTCAGACACGGCTGATTTTGAAGTCTGCAGCTGGGAGCAGCCACTATTCTGAGCTGGCTTTTCGGTTGCATGCCTGCTGCCTCTGCCCCCACCTAAGACCTTCCTGTGCTGCACAACAACCAGAGAACATGTTGATGGTGGGAGGCACCATCAACCGTCTCTGGACTTGGGGAGCTAGAAGACTTTCTTCCTGATTCTGATAGGCGGGAGATGGAGGTGGGACAGATGAAAACTGCATTCAGGAGTTTTATTGAAAACCACCGTAACCAAACTAGGCTCTCTGCCTTGGGGGGATCTCCTATTGCTGTCACTGGGTTGTGACTAAGAAGACAACGATCACAATGACCAAGAGCGGGAAGCCACCTTAGCTGCCATTGGCAGAGGACCGGATAAAGAGGATGTGCTCCCTGGCAGACCCAGTGGACTGCTACTCAGCTATGAAAAAGAGTGAAATCCTGCTGTTTGCAAAGACCTGGGTGGATGCGAGGAGGTGATACTAAGTGGAACAAGTCAGGCCGAGAAAGCCAAACACTATAATTTCACTCACATGGAGTCGATAAAGAAACACCACAGGTGAACAGACATAGCAAGACAAAACAAACTGTCAGACCAAGTGGTCACCAGTAGGGGAGGGGGCGAGGGGTGGGTGATTTGGATGGAAGGAGTCAACTGTGCCATGATGGTGTGAACCAGACTCCCCGTGACAAGCATAAGTTACGCATGTGTTGACTTGTAAGTCCGTAACTGAATCCTATATCATGTTATAAACCCACATCACTTCAATTAAAAAAAAAAAAAAGACAGCTGTGCTGAGGAAGAGAAAGCAACTTTGGCAGCGGGTGCCAGCGATGCCTGGGCCATGCACAGTAGTTGGCTGGTGCTGCCTGCCTTCTGTGCTTGGAAACTCATCTCTCCCTGGTTCCAGCCCTCCAACTCCATCCTTCCCACTCCAGGACTATCCAGAAGTTTCTTGGTACCTGATATCACCTGGAAATGTATAGGGTGCTTGGCAGTGTCCTGTATGATTGTCTAGGGTGCTGAACTCTGGGTCCTCTGGGGTTTGTTCTTCCTACTGGAGCCCTTCATGCTTGGAGTTGGGAGATCAGGGTGAGCTCTCTCATCATTTCAGAAAATTGAGTCTATGAGACAATTGTGGCTAGCCCTGGTCTGTCCTGTCTAGTCTTGGGATTAATTTTATATTTATAGTACAGAATGGGATGGGAGGCAGGGTAACTTGGATCCCCGAAAACCTAGGTGAGATGCGTGCCCAGGACAGGTGGGGATGGACTGATTGCCAGTACATGCCAGGACCAAGGGCATATCAGAGTCCAAGGTGAGGGCAGCTGGGATGGCACTCAAAATATAGTGACCCTGATTCCTTCATTTCCAGGGTTTCCAAACCACTCGATGGGTTTTTTACTTCAACTTAAATCTTTATCATGGACCTTTCATGTGCCAAGCATTCTACAAGCTAAGGCAACTTGCTGCCTTCATGAAACTGAGAGTCAAACTTGCAGGCAGAAGAATAAGAGATGATGATGTGAAGCAACAATACATATTTAGAGCAGGCCTTCAGGAAGAAGCCATATTTCATCAGGAACCTGATAGTGTTTTTCAAGTAGAAGAAGAATCTTCAAAGATCTAGACAAAAGAGCAGGCCTGGCACAATCCAGAACATGTGTGGCCAGAATGGTGAGGAAGGAGTGCAGAGCAGAAAGCTGGGGTAGAACTTTGCTGACTGTGCAACCTCCCCTCCCTATCAGGTGGGAAAGTCAACAGTGATGTAAGGAGTGTCTTCCAGACACTGGCTCTGTGTTCAGCAATGTGTGAACACCAAGAAGGCAAGACAGGACTGCTGTCCTCAAGCAGCTCCCCCTGCCCATGGTCGCTGTGTTTAAGAAGGAACATGCTTCCAGCCCCTTCTCCCAGAATTGTCTGACATGGCGGCTTCCAACACCTGGCCTTGAAAGCAAGTCTGGATGAAAGGGAGGACACCCCCAAGTTAAGGCTGCTCTGTAGAATGCAGTAACTGGTTGTTCCAGGAGATGTGTAATGAAATGGGGGTGATTTAAACCCAGCCACCCATGTCACCTCTTCTTCTGTGATCAAAGAGGCCTGCGAGCTCAACAAGCTGGGCTGGGTTACCAGTTCCAGCTGACATCATTTGCCACTAAGGCCTCTAAGACCTTTCTCTTTTCCTTCCAAGATCTCTCCCTAACCTACCCCCACCCCACCCACTTTTACACAGGAAATCACTCTTCCTTCTTTCCGACCAGACCATATCCTTTTTCTTTTTTTACCTTTACATTTCAAAATAAGGTGTGCTTCTTCCAGGAAGTTTGCCCTGATTAATCCTCCTTGTCATCCTGGCATCTCAAGTGGTTTCTATGCCACAGACAGCTAAGTAGGGCGCGTTCAGTCATTTCTGAACTCTGGTTTTTCTGTTTTCTGAGTGAGGTTAGATTTTTCACCTTTGCTACTGCTTATGCAGTTTTGAAGCCCGTACACCAGGTGGTGGTAGTTTCCTCCTACTCTGATGATATTTTCTGATGAATTAGCAGAGGAGGAAAATGGAAGGGGAGAAGTAGCTATTAACTGAGTACCTACTATGTGCCTGACCTTCGTACAATGGCTAATTTAACTATAAGAAATAACCTACAAGAGGTAAATATTACTGAAAATTCAGTTAAGGAAACTGAATTTGGGAAGAGGTCAAGCAGCTTCCCCAAACTCACACCCTCCTTTAGGCACCTCTGGTCTTGGCTCCTAGGTCTGGGTTCTCTGGACTTGTGTCTCAGAGAGACAAGCAGATCTTCTGTTTGATTGTGAAAACTAGAATGAAATCAACCAGCATCAGAGTCACTATTCTAGCCACACCTCTGGGATCAATTAGTATCTTTCTTAATAATTCTTATAGTGTAATAAATCAGACAATATGGGGTGGGGGGAGCTGCCTTTGACAGTTTGTCTCAGATCTGGCCATTGCTTTCCTGCTCCATCATGCCAGCTGGAATGGTTTGATAAGATCTCTAGGAAGAGCACATGTGTGACTGAGTCTTGGAGGAGCCCTGAGAGGTCAAATCAGGACCTAACTCAGAAGTGAAGTTTTAGAGATTTCAGGGGGTCCGAGACAGTGGGAGGCTGGGAGCTGGGATGGGAGAACTGGTGAGCATTCTAGGTCCATGGGGCAAATCAAAGGTCTCAGGATTCACCTTCTAAGCAGAGGATAGAACTCCCCAAGGTCAAGGAGGAGATTCCAGGGGAGCCAGCAGGGCAAGAGTAACACAATAGATCCTTCAGAGCTGGAGGGATGTCACTTCACATCGGGGTGCAAGTGGGTGAGGGTTGCTGTGTGTGGAATGGGCTCAGTCAGCACTGGGGGTGCTCAGAATGTCTGGGGCAGAGAAAGGAGGGCTGGCAGGAGTGCAGGGAACAGGGGGAAGGAGCAAGGCACTGTGCTGTTTTCCTCCTATGTTAATGACTTCTTCCCTTTACCTGCCAGATAAAAAGCAGAAGCAGGAAAAATAAAGCTAAGTATCTAGTATCCCAGAGTGTAAATTCTCCCAACCATGTTCTATGAAATTTCTGAACTTGTCACTGATTTGCAATATCATATTTGCTTGGGGGGAGAAATCCCATCTCCAGTGATGGGAGACCTGGGAGCTCTGAGACTTGGGTCCTAGACTCAGTGGTAACTGGAGTTTTTCTTGAAATACATCTCTTCTTTCCTCTGAACTTCAGTTCCCCCAGCTGTGAAATGGGGGACTTGGAATAAAGGTTGTTTCCCCTCTTCTATGCTCTGGCTGTTTAGTTGGCAGTGGTATGACTTTCAATTTATTCAGCAAATAGGGAGATGGGCCACCATCAGGCCCTGCCTTTTCTGGATTGATCATGTGGTGCTTTCATAATCAAAACAAGCCACTTGCTTCACTGTTAGAGACAATTTTCTGGGTATTCTGACTAGATGATCTTATCTGCCCCCTTGAGTTCATGAACAAATGATGTTGCTGCTCTTGTGAGCACTTTCCTCATGTCTTTGGTCCTTTCCAGACCAGGGAGCTTATGCATGCATGCATATGTGCATGCACATGTGTGAATGCACACACATGTATTATGTATACTGTGCACATATGAATGTCTGTATGCAGTCGAATGCTCTACCACTGAGCATATCCCCATATAACTGTCTATAGTCTATATACATAAGCATGTGCATGCATGTCATATGCATATATGCATGTAGGTGTGCAGACATATGAATAGGCATTTATGTGTCTAAGTCATGCATCAAGTAATGATGGGGATTCGTTTCTAGAAATGCATCATTTAGCAGCTTTGCTGTATGAATGTCACAGGGGGTACTTACACAAATCAGGTGGTCAGCCAGGGATACAGCTAGGCCATGTGCCACAGCCTGTGTCCGGCTACACACCTGTTCAGCATGTTGCTGTTCCGAATGCTGCTGGCGATTACTACAGTGCTATGTGCAAGTCTAAACATACAAGTCAAAGACAAGGTACAGTAAAGAGGATTTTGACTCTACTGTAATCTATGGGGTCTGTCATTGACTGAAACATTGTCATGTGACCCAAGACTACATGTCCATATGCATGTGTAGATGTATGCACGCAGATGTATGTAGAATGTCTACATCCATTCATTCACTCATTCATTTACTTTTGCAGTTACAATCTCCATCTTGCAGCAGTAATATCTAATTCTACTTTCTTTGGTTATTTAGCTGTGAGTTTCTATTTTCTGCTTTTTCACAGGGCTGACTGAGGGTCCTGGTGAGGAGCAGCTGCCTCCCTGGAGTGGAGTGGGGCAGTGCTGACCAACTTGGGCCTCTGGACAGGTGCTGAGGGAAGAGGGTGAATCCGATGTGGTGCGCCGGACCCATGCAGGTGATGGACTGAGCAGACCGCTGCCCGGCTCCAGCAGTAAGTGCTGGGGTTTGCGAAGCGCCAGGCATGTGCGTGCCCCGGAGCACTGAGCAGTGAATCGTTGGGTGTGGTGAAGCAGGCAGGATGATCACGGCTTCTCGGAGGCGCCGTGGGCCCTGGGTCTCAGGGAATGCTGTCCTGGCTGTCCACGTGGCCTGTGTGTAGCTGAGGAGCAGAGTGGGGGAGTCCTCAGAGCAGCAGTGCTCGGCGTGGGGCTGGGCAGTGGCCCTAACAGGTGATAAGACCCGGTCTCCCAGGGTCACTGTGCCTGGAGCCGTGCAGAGGGGCACAGTCAGAGGTCCGCACTGCATGCTTCGTCTTTTACATATGTCCGGGGGAGGGTGTTACTGTGTGCAGGGAAACCAGGATTCGAAGTCCTTATATCCTCCCTTGGACAGATCGCCTGGACACTCTGGGCCCTTGTTGTCCATCCCTCCGTTGTACAGTCACACTGAACGGAGACCATGTAAGGGACTCCGGATATGGAAACTTTGCTTTTTTTCATTAACAGAATATGTTCAAAAAAGCTTACCATGGGTGCATGCTCATTTTTGGGTTTTGTGCTCTTTGTGAGTTGCTAGCACTGAGGAGCGACAAAGGACTGATGTGCTGTGGCCTGAAAGATTGTGATGATTTTTCCATGCAATTCATGTAATTCACAGAAAAATTTAGAAACTTTAGAATAGACCAAAAAAAATTATTTTTCCCTTGATACTGTTACCTTAACTTCCATCTTCCTGGAAGTTATAAGCATTTTATAAGCATGTACTATTTCATGATTTGCTTTCTTTGTTTCACTTGCTTCTCTGAATAAATGTGAGGAAGAACCTTTTCCTGTAACAATATTTGCTCTGTAACAATGCTGAACAGGTTTTTATTTCATATATTTTTAGGTTCATTAAGTTTAATTTTTAATGCTCCAATAAGCATTTTTATGAGTAGCTTTGGATTCATCCTTAGAAGCATTTCCTTTGGATAAATTTGTAATATTTGGATTATTATGCAAAGTTTTCTTATTTTTTTTTTCTGTGAATTTTCACTTTCTGATACCAAGAGGAACTTATGAGGAGCAAAATTTTCTGATCTTTTCAAACCCTTGATATTATAATGAAAAAAACTTTGTCACTATGCTACCTAAAAAATGGCAAAAAGATCTTATTTTAACTTGATCGTCTTTTGCTACCAGTGAGGTTCTGTATTTTAAATTTTTATATTTCAATATATTTATTGATGGTATTTTTTACATAGGCAATTTTAAGTTAGCATCTTCTGCACATTTTTACAGAAGTGTTTTATTTCTTTCCTGATTACTTGTGAAGTTCCTATGTAGTTTAAGTATTAACTCTTTGTATGCAAATACTTTTTCCAGTTCTATTTCTCTTTTAATTTTGATTATGGTTTTATTTTACATTCAGAAGATTTTTATGATTTTTTACATTTAGTACATATTTATGTAGTCAAGCATTTTTATTTTTTAATTTATTTCCTTATAAAATTCTTCCAAAGCTGACATTTACATAGATATTTGTGAACATGGTCTTTAGATACTTTTATGGATTCAGTAATCATTTACCTTGTAATATAGTGATTTGTCATTCACCAGGAATTAATTTTGGTGTGTTTTATCAGGGATTTTAGTTTTTTTCAAATAATTATTGAATAATTCTCATTTTTAAAAAAAATTTTAAAAGATTTATTTATTTATTTATACAAGCACTGGGTACAGTCAGAAGCGCGGGAGGGTGAGAGAATTCACCAGAGCCAGAGCGGGGAGCAGAGCAAGAAGAAGGACCGAAGTACACTGCTGAGGGGAGCAGCGGGTGGCAGGAGAGGTCTGCGTGCCATGTGGGACCCTCGCCGGTGGCCGGGGATTGAACCAGCACTGCAGAGGCTGTGGGCAGCTTCGCAGCCCCAGTGCTCAACTGCTGCGCCACAGGGGAGGCCCAATTCTCATTTTCTTGATGGAAAACATCAAGGCAATTCTATTCTTAAATAGGAAAAATACCTTCACTGCAGTCATGCATCAGTAACACGATCAGCTTTATGTTTTAAGTTGTCACGGTACATGGAAACAGTTGAAATAATTAGTAAAGTTCTGTGAAAAGAGGCAGAATAAATGATGGTAACAGCAGTAGTAATGTAGAACCAGGTGGTCATCAGCGAGTAAGAGCTCCAGAGTTTTACTTCTTGGTTTTTTGCTTAATGGGCTCATCACACTAAGGTTTGTCTGTTAGGAGTACATTTTTATTCTTCTTTCTGGCAAATGTTTGTTAAGTAACTATTTCAGGACCAGATTCTGAGTAGGACTTAAGTATCTGGTCTCAGTGCTGAAGTTTCTCATGATCTGACCAGGAGCATAGTAACTGGGAATGCTTTTAGCTCCCATGAACAAAAACACCTTAAACTAAAAATGGTGTAAATTACAAGTGTGGTGATGGGTCTACTAATGTTTGGTTAGTAACTTAAAGATAGATGTCAAGCTCCTGGGTTGTCATCTCTGATGTTCTTGGCTATCTTCCTCATTGTTGCAAAAGGCTGCAGCTGCTCTTGTCCTGCTGCCTTCACCTGTGTATGCTGCAAACCAGGGCAAATGAGCCGCATGGGCAAAGGCTTTCTCCCTTGGGGTACCTCCCTCAGGGTAACTCCCTCTAATCGTGGAGGCAAATCTCCCAGAAATCCTCTAGCTAGCATACTTCTCTTTCATCCCATGGGCCAGAAATGGACCACCTACCCATTCTTGGACCAGACTGGGTCCACTTCTAGAGACCAGTGCTCCTCTGGTCAGTATCAGACAGAATTCTGGTTCTATGAGTAAGGAAAGGGGACAATAACTTTTGAATAGTGTCTACCATAGAGGGCTATTCACTTATACAAATATGCATATAGTATTTCATAAAATATATTTATGCCTATGCTAACTATATAGATACCAAAATATATAATAAAGTAAAATAAATGTGCAAGCAGCCATTTCACATTCTAATATCTTCTCTGCTTCTCACTGCTGGTAAGCCTAACCCTGCTGAGTCTGTTTTCTCACCTGTGAAGCACAGACCTGAGTTCTTGCCATGCCCTCACACAGGGCTACCCAAGGATCTTACTAGATGAGGGCTTGCTCAATAGTTGGCATCACTTGCCTATTGGCTTTCTAATGCCGGTCCTCATGTGGGACGGCTTACGTGGTTGTTGATTTCTAGGTTACATGGTCAGTTTGGGCCTGGAGGTGGGACCAAGAGGTGCGGTTTGGTTAGTCACAAAGCTGGGACATAGAAAGAAGCTGGAAGCCTGGAATCCCGAGTCAGACTGGGAGTTGGGAAAGCAGAGGTTGTCCTCTCTTCCTATGGTCTGTGTTTGAAGATGGTGCTGGACAGAGCCAGAATGTCTTAGAGCTTAGTGGGGGTGAGTGGATGCCTAAGGAAATGGCCCACAGGAGAATCCAAAGTGGATGCTGATGGGGATTCTTCCCCTCTGGGGGACGGGGAGTACTGCTGACCAGAAAGCCCCCCAGATTTGGCTTAGGCAGGTGCTCCTTCACTGACTGACTGAGCAGTGGCCAAAAAAACCCCTGTGCCTCAGGCCCAGAGCTGCAGATCAGCCTGAAAAAACATGGACAAGAGGGAAAATGGAGTTCGTTGGAATGGGAGGGATTGAAGGGGCACTGTAGTGATTTAGTTCAACTGTTTCCTTTTTGTGGGTATAGGAGAAAAATATTTCTGAATTTGCCCTGACCTTTTAAACTTTAGTCTGCTGCCTGAGCTGGTTGAAGCCCAGTTCCTCTTCTAACCACAAAAGTCCTTTGCTTTCTCCCTGGAAATGTGGAGCTTTGCCATTACCCACATCTGCCAGAAGAAACTCCCCTCTGTAAACCTTGCTTGAACCTCGGTCTACGTTTAACCAATCCTCTCCACGGACGGAGGCAGCCTCGTGAGCTGACGGCTTGGGGTGCAGTTAATAATCTTGTCATTTTTACCTTGTGGTCTTTTCTATCTACCTCACCCGTCCAGTTGAATTAAATCTCCATCAGTCTCTTGCCCGCCAGGGTGAAGATGAATGGATCTTCAGCTGTCCCCTTAGAACACAAACAATTGTCACGTCCCGAGGAGAAAGGCAGTGGCTGATAAATCATGGGCTGTCAGCGCAGAAGGTGGTGGGCAATTCTGAATCCCTCTCGAGTCACGGGGGTGGGTCATGGACAGGCGCCATGTCTAGGCCTCTGCCTCCGCCAGAAGTTCTGGTGGTGCGAGGGAGGGGGTGTGGTCACGAGCTGTGTCTAACATGGGGTCAGGGGAGGCTTGGAGGCCTCTTCTCAGAATGGACGACCTTCTAGGTGGTCTGTAGAGGGCAGGCGCTCATGGTGACCACTGCCGTCAACATCAGGGAAAACTGTTAAGCTCCTTTGAGGATTTGTCTTCTGGTTCCTCAGAAGGCTTATCCATGCCTGTTGAATGTGACTTTCTAGACCATTTGAATCCTTATATTCAGAACCCTCAATTAGCACCAGTGGTCCCTATGAAATCCCTTCACTCTCACTCAGTTTGGCCTACCCTTTCGGCTGGCCAGTTGTTGGGAAAGCTTGCAAAGCCATCAGAGGACATAAACCCAACTTTATTTTAGCAGTGTGGATTCATGTTGTAGTGGTTCATTCCTCCATTGTCGGATTAAGTTCTAAAAAGACATAAAATGCCTTAAAATAGAAATCTTATTGATACCAAGTATCCTTTCTGATGTCCCGGGAAAATAAAACCAGGAGAACAGTTGGGAAAGCCATTCTCTGGCTTGGATCCGTGCTCCTGAACACTTTTCCTCATTTCCTCCCTTGATTGTTAAATCCCAGGCAAGGGCTGACCTCGCTGTTGGAGGGTCAGCCTTCCCTCCATCCTGGGAGTTCTTTTCTCTTCTGGGTCCCTCTGAAGAGGAAAATGGTTCCTCCTGGGAAGTGGGTCTCCCCAACCTGAAGAACCAGTAACTATTGTCTCATTCATTACTTGTCAATGTCA